AGAGGAGTGGAAAAATGCTATAGAAACAAGTGAGGTAGCAGCTAATTTCCCTCCAGTGGGGAAAGGCATGTAGGAAGCTGTGGAGATGGAGTGATCAGTGAGATGGACTTTGAAGAAGAGGAATTGATGATAGAGTAGAAAAAGATGAAAATCTATCAGCAAAAGGAAACAATATGAGCCAACACTGTGGTAAAGATGTGTGTTGTATGTTCAAGGAGACCTAAGGAGTGCAGAGTGCCTGGAGATGGCCTTCCATCCATTTAGTGACTCAAGGAACTCGGAGATTTATTGAGGAGCAGTTTTGAGCCAGGAACTGTGTCATGCTCTGGAGACTTGCAATGTTGGCTTCCAACAGTTTCAGCTTAACAAGTATAGAAAGGCAAGCAGAAACTTCTTCTTACCATTTTTTAAAGAATGATTTTTGCTATATAGGGCATTTATGCTTGCCAGAGACAGAAAGCAAGAAATCACTGCCTAGGAGGGATGGCCATGCCACAGTCCCTTTTCCTCATGGGATTTTGGGCACATCTGCACATGCATCTGGCGTGAGTTTAAAGCCGCTGGGTCTGGGACTCAAACTACAGCTGACTATGTGAGAGTCCAGTGACATAACTATTAAGTCATCTGCTAGTCCCTGACAAGCAGAAAATTATAACAGCACAATCAGGGCTGTGAAAGAAGCAGAACTCTGTGCTAAGGGAGTCCATGTACAGGAAGGAAAGGTAGTAAGTCAGGCTGGAGAAGTAGGGGCCACGTTAGGAAAAGCCTACATGTGCCATACCAAGGAGCTGAACGTTATTTTAGAGACACTGAACAGTCAAGGGGATTTTAGGCAGGGAAGTAAACAGGACTGTGACCTGATATCACTTTAAAGGGGGAAATCTCCCTAGTGAAGGTGAGAAAGACTGGAAGAGTAATTAGGGAGTTACTGAAATATTGATAGTTCAAATGGGAGAGCCCTAAACTAAGACAATGGCATTCCTCACTCCTTCTACATCTATTACACAACTACTGAGTGCCAAGTAATGTGCTGTGCTAGGGTTGAGGGTGTGCATGGATGAAAGAAAGAAGTCGAGCTGCTAGCAAAAAGGATGCACTGCAGACTACTCTGAAGTGAGATAAGACAAGAAGGAGAAGAGGGCAAGACCATCGGAAAGAAGGAATGTTGGAGGAGGATATGCTTAAGAGGGTGCTGGAAATGGAAAGGTAGCTCGAAGCAGATTCCAATTTTTCACTGAGATGGAAGAGCAGTTATGTATTGAGTATAAAAAGGCCAGAGGCAGGAAAGAGAATCTCTAAGAGAATGGTTATCTATTTGGAAGGGATTTTTATCTGCAACGATAAGGCCGAAATTTGCTAAGCAGTGCAGAAAGCCTCCTAAGTGTGCAATGGCCCCAGTCAGCATGCTCAGACAATTCGTTTCCTAGGTGATTGGTATCTGGACACAGTAGAGGAGAACACACATTCGTGAGTCAGTCTATGTGTAGGGATAGGCAGGCCAAATGGAGTGGGAGATAGGAAGCTGACAGTGTTCATGATGGTGTCAAAGAGGGCTTGATGGATCCTTCTTTTCTGGTCATACTGGTCCTGACATTTATTCTGTCTACTGGTTTAGAGGAGCCAGTCCCCAATGCCAAACAGAACCTTCAGTGTCTTCTCAAATTTTGGCAAGAGTGATGGATGGCCTTTGCCTGTGTACATAAAGCTACCAGCCTAACTGGGTGCTAGCTCACTTCAGGGCATTAGCTCTGGGCTGGGATGCTGGTAGACCCTCAGGGCCGCCTGTGCTTTCTTACAGTTTAGTGCTCTAATGTCACCGATTTATTGGTCACTTATCACTACACATCCAAGCTAACCATAACCCTGAACTTTTCTAATACATTTCAGTTCTTTTTTTCATGATCTTCTTCTCATTTAGATTTCCTACTCTTACTCTTTTTACAGTTTGATTGAATGATTTCAGTAATTCTGACCCAAATATATGAGTAAATGGAATGGGCATGGCATGATTTGAAGGGTTCTGGAAATGCCCTTGTGGGACTGAGACATGGCTTTATTTTTTTCCAGGTATAAAGCTGACTCCTTGCATTCTCTTTCTGAAAATTCCAGTAGGTGTAGAGCACACAGTGTGTGCCTTTCTCCACGTCAACGCGGGTGTTTCCATGCCCATGAATAAAGGTAGGACAATCAGAGGTCAAAGATATACTTGGGGATTCTTAATGCCAAACTGGGGAATACTAAAGGTTTTGATCTGGGATCCAATCAATTCCTTTTCTCTCTCCGTCTGCTTTCTGTTTCTTCCTTAACGCAAAGATGCCACTCAGGTCCCAAGTCATGGGACATTTCCCCACTTGAGGACAGGGCAGGGTGAATGACAGAGGAACGTTTGGGGACTGCTGTTTACAAGGACACTTTTGGTTAGTCAGAAGAGCATGGTGAAGGGTGCTGGAGTTCTGGGGAGAGAACTCTCACATCCTTGGAACAGACTCCTGAGGGAAGCCTACCCTGCCTTCCTTCCTGCACGTGTCCATTTAGAAAGCACATGACTGTCCTGTCCCTCTCAACATCGGAACATCAGCACTCACGGGGGAAACAGGGATCAACAAGCCGTGTTTGAGGGCACACCAAGTGTCGGAGCCCAGGCCAGCGTTCAGAAGTCAGGGGTGGGGGCAGCTTTTATAGACATCATAAACAGGGAAATTAAACTGCAAGATCTTCCTTCATAAAGAAATCCTTTGGGACTTACAAAATCAGACCACATTAAGACTTTCTGGCTGCCTTCCAAAGCAATAGGGACTTAATCAGATAAGTTCATTGAAAAGTATTTTGAAGATTGCAAAACCATCTGGCTTTGGGTGATGCTGCTTCTAATAATGTAAGGTTTATTTTGAGAAACATTTCCCACCAATATAAATTGAATGTCATACAATATAGCAATAGATTCCTATTACAAAAAATACTTTAAAATAATATTACAGCATGGGACTTGCTATGTGTTAGGTGCTTTCTAAGCACTATATTTATAAACTTCTATAATCTTCATCATCTACCTATGAGGTCAAGGCCTTTTTTTTTCCCCTTTTGTTTTTTAATTGCCAGAGGATGACAGAGATAAAGGGTTGGGAGAGGGAGCACACCCCAATGGGGTGTGGCCACGCCTCAGTCCCTTCTCTTCCATTTTTCTATTCTATCTGGGTTTGGGCACCTGCACGTGCCTGACATATTTTTCAAGCTGCCAGGACTGGGTCTTGAATGGCAGTTGGCTATGTGAGATCCAGCTCACTTAACCACTAGGCAACAAGGGCTGGCCCAGGCAGGGCTTTCATTGTTTTCATTATACCAGTGAGGAAACTGAGACATAGTGAAGTTAAGGAACTGCTTAGCACTGCTTGGCTGGTCTGTTATTCCTAGTTGTCCCCACCTAGAGGTAACTGTTGGTAATAACCAAAGGGACCAGGTAAACAATACAGTGCAGTACCAGCCTTGGTACCCACTGCCTCTGTCACCCACCTCACCTAACCCTTTCTTTCGGTGCCAACTGCAAGGTTTTGGGTTTTGTTTTCCCTTCAGAATTCTAGTCTAGGAAATTTGCTTGTTTTCGAATCACCGTAGAAAGCACTGTGGCTGACTCATGAGGAGTTTTTCTCTCAAAATGAAATGGTCGTGCAGCCTTAAGTATTTAAAACAATACTTTACACTTGGAGCTGCTATGGTATGAATCTGTTTGAAATCTTGGTGAAATCAGTCTAGTCTGGATGGTACTAATCCAATCAAGATTTGTGCCTGTCCCAGGTTTCTCCCCTGCATGTGCATTCTTTTCTGCAACAACCCAACCCTTTCCAGAAGTCCCTGTCATATGGTCCACATCCTGGCTGAGTTTCTCATCTCATTCATCCACCACCTCTTGAAAATGTCATTGGAAGACATTTCCCCCTCCTCTTCAAGTCCAGTGCCATATATATCTGTGGTCTTAGCTCAGTTCTGTTCTACACACGGATGGGAGTCCCCTTGTGTTGTATGCTAAATGCTAGTGTTTCAGAGATGAAATAAAGATGAGCCCCTGACCTGAAGAGATTCACTGTTTTCCCCTCTGACCCCTCCATGGAAGACCTTAAACACATGGAATGGGATGTGCCATGGTCATTAGCGAGCAGTGGTCACTTTCAACACACTTGGGCTTTCCCTTACATGCACTAATTTTCACAAAGACAGGGCACATGCTAACCGAGACGTGTCAGAGTGAATGTTGTTTTCTTTATTTATATATTTCTTTGTTTGGGCTTTTCTCAGTCTGGGGACAGTAGAATAAAAAAGGACAACCAACCATATTCATCATTTGGGTGTTGCAGATTATCACCAGCGCTGATTGTTCCAGGGCCTAAACATTGCTGAGACATTGGTTGGAGCTAGGTGGTGACTCTAAATGGCAGTGATGGGGAGGTGGTTGGGTCTTAAGACTCTTAAAGACAAAGTGCTTAGATCAGTGCTGGGCACATGGTAGGTGTGTCTTGCACATACTAGCTAAAATTAATGAAATAAAGGTAGGTATCTCTATTGTTAAAAATAAAGAGGCTGAGGCATTCTCTCAGATGGACAAACTAGTTGCTAAGACCAGGGTGGTCTTGAAGATTGTTAGTTGAAGCAACTCAACAAATGTATGTGCATGTACCATACATACATAGGTATACTTATTCATTACATGTCAGATAATCATTTGTGGCACATGTGGATCTTCCCTAAGCACTAGAGCCATGGTGGCCACCCCAAGTGCCCTACCCAAATGGTTTGCCCATTGACCATTCACATTGTAAGCCGTATTGACTGTTAATGACTCGTGAATCCGTTGAACGGTGTTGACTTAAGTAATTTTGCATAAATTGTATAAAAAAATACAGTATCTACCCTCCATCTTTATAGTTTTTGTCCCTCTCGCCTCACTCATAGTCCTATGAACTTTATGTCACCTTTTGCCTTGTGTGGCCTGAGGTTTGGGCACTTACCACAGTGCAGCAAAGAGGCCAGAACCACCAGAGGAGAGCCAGGGCCAGGAGCAGGAACAGGATCAGCAGGGCGATCGCCAGAATGGAGCCGTCAGACTGCAGGGCCAAAAGAGAGATGGTCAGTGGTGGGTTGGTGCCAGGCGTGGGCTCCCGTCCTCAAACTTCCATCCCCAAGAGGCAGGCTGAAGGCTCAGAGAAGAACACAGTTTGCCAAGTGAATGGCTGAAACTCTGCTCATAGCCTTGTAACACACAAGGCTCATAGCCTTGTAACACACTGTGGCCACTATTCAAGAGAAGTGGATTGTCTTTCCAAGGAGATCCTGACTCTTCTTTTTGGGGAACATTCTGAAGGACCAACCCTACAAGACATTGAGCAGGCATTGAGATGGCCACCACTGCTCAATCCTGGAACCTTGTCCCCTGCCCAATGACAGCTTCCTGCTCAGTGGATTTGATGTTTTGGCCGCCACCTGAGCTGATTCAGGACAGTTCAATGGTTCTTCAGCCTGCGCCCCTAAACCCAGTCACTCAGGTGTATGTAATAGGTTTACGAGGCTGTGAATGAAAGAGTGGAACCTGATGTGGAGATGCCACAGGGGGCAGGTGAATTCCAGAAGTAGGGGCAGAATGACTGCTGCTGAGCCAGGGAAGAAAGAGGGGTGGTGGCTGAGTCAGCGCTCCAGCAGTTCAAGTGACTATGTGGCAGCCAGGGAGAAAGGCAGGCACTCATGACCAATTTCATCCACTTCAAGACATGCCTAGGCTAGTCCTGAAAACAGATTTGGTTGTTACGGCTGAGCAGGTTGGTAACTTTTAGCAAACTGCAGGCTTACTCGATATTAACATTCTGAGGTTGCTGGTTCAAAGAAGCCACTTGAGAACAAGGGTCTAAATCCCTTCTTCCTTACTCCCTCATGGATGCAGGGAGTGTGAATGATGGGTAGAGAAGGGAGAGAAGGGAACAAATAGTTCTAGCTATCAAAGTCTCCTTCTGAGTAAAATTGGCAATTTTACATTTAGCCCAAGAAAATAATTAGATAGGTTTGCACGGGTAATAATAACAATAATAGAGGCCAGCAGAAGGCATAGGGGTCATGCCACTAGACACCCACACGGCCAACTGTGATTGAGTCCGAGACCTGCTGGCTTGAAAATCATGCAGGGACACACATGTGTGTGCCCAAGATCCCAGGAAGAGAATGGAGGAGAGGGGATTGTGGAGTAGCCATCTTTCCTGCGGGACAATTTCTTTCTTTCTTTTTTTTTTAGAGAGAGATTTTTGCTATAGGGCTTGCTGGCTGGAGAGACAGAGACAGAAAGACATAGAGTGAGAAATCACCACCACCACCACCACCCCACCCACCTCTCCCCCCCGCTCCTGGGAGATGGCCATGTTGCAATCCCTTCTCCTCCATTTTCCTCTTGGGATTTTGGACACACACACATGCCTGGTGTGAAGTTTAAGCTGCTGGGTCTAGGTCTCGAACCCCAGTGGACTATATGGGAGTCCAGCAATGTAACCATCAAGCCATATGCTGGTCCCCAATTTCTCACTTTCCCTCTTTACTGTCTCTGCCTCTCTCTGTAGTGAGTGCATGCATCCTAAGACAAAAACCTCTTAAAAAATAATAACAATAGAAAAGAAAGACAACATAATTGTTTAATGGTGAGGGAAGGCTAAATAATGCCTTCCGATGCAGTCAATTATTACATAGGCATTATGTTGGCAAATAATATTTAAATGTCATGGGAAATTATTCCTGGTATGAGTGAATTCATATTTATGTGTCAAGAAATAGACTGTTTTTCTGACACTTAGTAAAATATTAATAGTGGTTTTACCAGTAGTGGGTTTATGGTAATATTTTTTCTTTTAAAAAAATCTTTATTTTCCTTTTTAAAAAAATTTAATAATAGGGAACCAGCAGTTAGCGTAATGGCTATGTCACTGGACTCCCACGTAGTCGACCGCGGTTCGCGTCCCAGACCCGGTGGCTTAAAACTCACGCCGGGCATGTGTGCGTGCATGCCCAAGATCCCGAGAGGAGAATGGAGGAGAAGGGATTGCGGCGTGACCATCCCCCCTGGGGGGTGATTTCTCGCTTTCTGTCTCTATGTCTCTCTCTGTTTGTCTAGCGAGCACACGCACCCTATAGCAAAAAAACCTCTAAAAAAGTATTTAATAATGAGAACGTAAACTGTTGAAGTTATTTTTCAAAATTTTCACTTTGGTCTTCTAACTTGCTGTCAGAGCTCTCAGGGCCCAGGGGTTCTGACCAAGATCGGTGAACCTAGAGAATACACAGAAGGGCTCAAGTGGATGAAGACTTGGGACTTTCCTGAAATGACCATCTAGGATCTTTGGTGTGTGTGTCTTCAGGGGAGACCATTCACAGCACGATCAGATTCTCAAAGCTGTCCCTCACCCCCATTTATAAAGGAGGGAGGTTGGGTGGTCTGTTTAGGTTAGGGCAATAGGTTAATGGCAGGGCTGGGATGTGAGTCCCTCCTACTCCGGGGCTACTGGAAGCTGTTTAAAGGCAGCTCTTACTCCCTGGAACTCCTTGGAATGTCTTTGACCAAAAGGCCAGAGAATTCAACACTCCCAGTCCCAATCAAGCCAAGGTTTGGGACTGCCTGATGGATCCCAAGGGAACCCCATCCTCACAAGTGCAGGTGGAGGCTTGGACAGCCCCAGGGTAGTGGGTGGGGAGAGGGCAGGGTCCTGACTGATACGCAGGGCCACAGTAGAGGGGATGCTCTGGACTGGCCCACAATGTTTATACACAAACTACAGCAGAGGGTGACTGCTCTCGGGGCTAACAGAAAGAAGCCACATGTTTTCCAAGCGCTGTTAGTCCAGGATGATCCTTTTGATCTTTCAGTCTCTACATTCCGCATCCATAACATGGAGAGAGTAAACCTCCCCTGCCTTAGCACACTGACAGGAGCATAACATGAATCATAAGATGCCAGCAGTCACACCAGGTGATTTGACGTAAACCATCCTATCAGACACTAACTTGTAACTCACTCTCCTTCTGTTTTTCTATGGCAACAAAAATGTTATGAGCGCTGCAGATGATAAATCTGTTTGCACTTGGAACAGCAAGTGGTTTTGGTTACTGAGAGACTTATGAAACAGTGGCTTTTTGGTAATAACTACAGACTACATTTACTCACATTATACACAATTTACTCTGTTCCTGATTTTATTTTTTTTCAAGTTAGATGAACTGAAGCAGAAAGGCTAGTAAATTGAGAAGAAATGTTCTTACTTCCTTCTGGAAGTAGGAAGTTTCCCATGAAGCAGCCGAGGTGAAGGACCCGGCTCACAAGGGCAGAGAGGAGGCTTCCATGGCGGGAGATGACTTCCTGGAAAGGAAAGTGATGGCTGGCTTCTCCAGCTAAGCTCAGTGCCCCTTACGAGCCATGGTTATCCTGGGGCTCAGGAAGGAGATGGTGAGGGCTGGACATGCACTGGGACAGAAACCCCTAGAGAACTTTCTCCTGTTCTAGAAACAGCCCTGATAGAAAGCCCCTGAATGCCCAGCTTGGTTTTTGAGTTTCCAGAGCAACCATTATAAGCCCATGTCAAAAGACTCACCATCAGACAAAGGGCATGCATTTTTGGTAGACTTAGACCTGAAGCTAACATTGTACAAGGAAATAACACGTATGTGCAACCTCAGAGGTTCACTCATGTATCCCTTCAGCAAACATTTACTGAGGGTCTATTTTGGGCCCATTGAGCAGACTCAGGATACACGGAATTGGTTAGGCAGAGCCGAGATGCTCATGGTGTGCTGGTTTAGGTGGGGAGAGGGAGGGGACGTGTAAATGACCGATCACACACAGTGGTCTGTGCATTACTGCAGTTATACACCCAGCACCTTCTAGGTGCCAGGCAGTAAACCAAATAGACAGTCTCTGTTCTTAAAGAGCTCACATTCTGTGGAATAGTAATATTAATGTGGATACTAATGATTATTAGTATGGTTAATATTCATTAAACACTAATATGTATTGAGATGATTTTTTCTATATACTAGTGTGCTTTCCACATGCTACCTTGCTTAATTCTCATTAGCAACTATGTAAATTCAAGAATATGATTTTTTTTCCATCTCGCAGATAAAAATATTAAGTGCCAAGCAAGGCAAGGAGAGGTGGGGAAGTGTGCTGAAGGCCAGGATTGGACATGGGCAGCAGGGCTCCATGGCTTGCAGTTTTTTTTTTTTTGGAGAGGTTTTCGCTATAGGGCGCGTGTGCTTGCCAGACAGACAGAGAGAGACAGAGAGACAGAAAGCGAGAAATCACCCCCCAGGGGGGATGGTCACGCCGCAATCCCTTCTCCTCCATTCTCCACTCGGGATCTTGGGCATGCACGCACACGCACCTGGCGTGAGTTTTAAGCCACTGGGTCTGGGATGCAAACCGCGGTTGACTATGTGGGAGTCCAGCGACATACCATTACGCTAACTGCTGGTTCCCGATGGCTTGCAGGTTTAAGCAGATGTTTGTGCTCAAAGCACACAGCCAAGTGCTCAAAAGGTGAAGGCCTGGGAACTAGCCCTTCGCAGAAGAGGTGACATCCAAGGTTCTTGCATAGAAAGGCTAGCACAAGTCCTGGGGTCATGGAGGTATGGGGGTGAGAGGGGCAGTGAAAGCCCGTGTGGTGGGAGCTCGGCATTGGTGGAGCAGGGGTGGAAAGGAGTTGGGGTTCCTGCTGTGAGAAGCGTGGCAAGTCAAGCTGAGGTTTCCATCCTGAGCCAAGGAGAACCCTTAGCGGCTTTTCTTCAAGGGCACTGTGATCAGATTTTTTTTTTTTTTTTTCAGAAGAAAAGTTGCTGACACTGTAGCATACACCCAGAGGGAAAGACTGGGGATGGAGGATCCAGGTGGAGGGCTCTTGTGATTCTGCCCAGTTCTTTTATTTATTTATCTAACTTTTTATTTATTAAAGTTTATTTATGAGCAAAACAGAGATGAGAGGGTGCACTCCCAACAGTGTCTTGGCACTACAATCCACCATCAGCCTCACCAACCCAAACTATGGCATCTGAACGATGGACGTGTTCAGACAGAGAGGTC